ATTTTTGAATTACAAAAAAGATTACATAATATTGAACCTGAAAATGAAGACATTCCTGTAAATGTTAATGAACGGAATGAATCGTAGTTGTCAAGGAAAGTATTCTTTTTGAAAGAATGCAAATACATTCATTGTATTATTTCTAAATAAAATTTACTTGTTTATCTATTTTTATTATAAATTTATTATTTTGTTTATTTTAATAAAAATGTTTAATTAAAAATATAATAAAACATGGTTTTTATATTATTTTATTTGACTTTTTAACTTAGTGACAAATTAATCCAATTATTACCATTTTAAGTTTTTATAATGAAATAACCAACAAAAAGCAAACACATAAATATCTTTTTTTTATTTTTTTTTTCTATTATTCGATATAAGGGCTTCCTCTTATTTTTCTCTCTTATATCGAATAAATCCTTATATCAAATAACCCTTATATCGAATAATGACTGTAATTTGAATTGATAAATGTAAATTTTGTCAAATTTTTAATATTGTTGTTTTGGATAATATTTGTACCAAATAAATTTTTTCTTTACCATTTATTTTATTTTCTATTTTTCGAGTATTATAAATATAGTTAATTATGGTTTATTTTTTAAATAAATTTTACAAACTTTATATAGTTGTTGAACTATGGATATACTAAACATAGTTTTTTTTGATGAGTATAGTTTTTTTATAGTAAAACGACGAATATTTAATTTTAAATAGTTAAAGTGAGTTACTTTATGCCAAGGTGAGTTAATAGCCAATAGTATTAAAAGATTATAATTATAATACTTAACACCATATTATTCTCATTCATGAAATTTTCATGGACAAGAACTAGAGAGACAGTAGAATTTATTAGAATGCTATACACCATCGAGTTATAGTAAATTAAATGTTATATTAAGAGAAGGTATTGTTATTTGTTATTGGTGGTAATAAGTAGATTCTAACAATAAAACTAAAAAATAAAACATATGAGTGAAGGGACAAAAGAGGTATCAACAAAACGAGAGCACATAGTGAATGAAATCTACACAACAGAAGACTCGTATGTCAAATCCCTCAAAATTTGTGTTGATGTCTATATGGCCTATTTTGCAAGTTGTCCAGACACTACGGAGTCTACTCAAACTGAAATATTTCTGTATTTACAGGAAGTGCTTAATATAGCAACAGCATTTTTGGCTGATATGACTGAGTACAAACAAAAGGGAAGTCTGTCGGACTCTGTTGGCGAGTGCTTCCAACGATTCATCCCATTCCTTAAAGTCTACAAACTGTTTATAGGGAATAACGAAGTATGTCTTGGCTCGATTGCGAAGCTCGAGAAGAGCGAAGAGGCGACTGCGTATTTAGAGCAATGCAGACTTAAAATAGAAGGACCATCGCAACAACCCCTGCGGTCATTACTTATAATGCCTGTGCAAAGGATCCCAAGGTATGTGTTACTCATCAAAGACTTGTTAAAGAACACTGACGAGTCGCATAAAGATCACAAAACATTAGAAATAGTCTTGGGGGAGATGGAAGATTTGGCCAAAGTCTGTAACGCAGCTTTAGTTAATACGGAACGGATGATGAAGATGTTTAAGATCCGAGATTCTATACGAGGGTATGAAGGAGAGTTGATCAATTCATCGCGGTACTTTATTAAAGAAGGGTTTCTAACGAAACAATGTCGAAAAGTCCCCAAACCTCGATACTTCTATTTGTTCAATGACATCATGATGTATGGAATAGAGAGTCTTGGGACCGTCTCGGTCTCGGGAACTATGGATTTACTCGATTGTATTGTCACTAATATCCCAGACTCTCCATCGCGACGCCTTGCGTTTCAAATCCAGTCGGGGAATAAGAGTTTTGTGGTCTTTGCGAAGAATCAAGAGGACAAAAACTGTTGGTTGGATACGATTAACACTGCTATAGAAAAGCAAACGACAACGCTCTCGGCACGGACAAATAAGTCGACGATAGTACGCCCAGTATTTAAACCTGATATCGAAGCATTAAATTGTGAGTTGTGTCATATTGATTTCACATTCTTTGTGCGAAGACACCATTGTAGAGCGTGTGGAAGATGTATTTGTGGGGAGTGCTCGAAGTGGAAAATGCCGATGCCGCCAAATAATGATATGGAAAGGGTTTGCGCGAAGTGCTTTGATTTGTATAACAAAAACAAAAAGAATTCGAAAGGAGAGAAAGTCCAAGTGAGAGAGAAAGGAATGGCAAATGTCATCTCAACGAAATCGGTGTTTGAACAACAACAAATATTGTCAGGAAAAGATGAAAAGAATTTGAATGAAGACGAGTGGCAAGAGTTCGAGGATTTGTCGTTTGGATCAGACTCAGAAGAAGTCCAAAAGACTAAAACTCCTATAAAAAGTGGACCTCAAGTCACTCAAAAAGTCGACAAAGTCGTCGAAAAACAACAAGTCGAAGCTCAGGTCAAACCTCAAACAATCAAAAACGACCAAAAAACTGAAATACCAAAAAGAAGACCACCACCACCTCCTCCACAGAAAATGAAAAGCGTCGACCATACCATCGGAGAACCGAAAAAAGCTCAACCTCCTCTCCCTCAAAAATTGGTGAAGTGTCAAAGCGAAATTGTACCTGAAAATCATCAACGCCCATCACCACCTCAACACTCTCACCTCACTGAGGCAAGTAGAATGAGTTACAAATCGTTTGTTTTTTGGGCTTCTGAAAGTTAATTGACATCTAGACGTCCTCTCCCGAAACCACCAGGACAAAAGTGACTCTTGAGTTAAAGTTTAATAAAATGTTTTATTTCTTTTTAATTTTTCAAGTTTTATTGAAAAAAATAACCATTTTTATCTCGTAAAAATAAACTTAAAAGGTTTCACCCTTAACAATAACTATTTTTATAGTTTTTGTATAGTTTTGATATTAAGTTTTTTTCTCAAGAAGATTAAATAATCAAAGGTAAAGCTATAAAGCTATTAATATTTAACTATATATCAAAAACAAAAAATAATGGTTCAAATATCAATAATTTGAATTAAATTAAACTCGAAACAATAATTTCTTTTGGAAAATAAATAAAACAAAAAAACAATTACTAATAAATTTAATTATATTTTATTAAAATAATTATTATTTACTTTACATTTGAAACAAGAAAAAAGAATAAAAAGATAGAAAAGTTAAACTATTGGTGGTATAACTTAAAGTTGTTTTTAATAAAAAGTCCTATTGATTGCCTATGAATTTAACTCACTTGAAATAGTTAAAAGCAAAAATCCAAGAAACTTGAAAAGAAAAAGAAAAAGCAAAAATAACAGGATTTTGATGCAAAACACATCATTTGAGCAAACAGATCCTTTTGACAACCCGATCGAACAACTTCCTAATAACATCGGAAAGTATCAGCGTGGACTTCTTCTTGGACAAACATACGCCGGGTTCATCTATTCGGCTCTCGACACGGAGACTCGACACCTTGTCTCACTTATTCATGTCTATCGGCGGTTTAGTCAACTTCATTGGGAAGTTTGTTTTTAATACAATTGTCGAGAAGTGTTCTTGGAGTGAACAACACAATAATCGAAAGGATGTCGTCGATTACCACAAAAAGGTGAATCACACCAACGTGTTGACAGTGCAAGACCTAGTTCGAGATGGTGACACCTGCATTTTAATCACTGAATACTGCGGCTTCGGTCAAATCAGCGACTACATCTTTTCATCAACGCGTTTCAATGAAGAAACAGTCCAAATCATAGTGATCCAACTCCTCAATTTGATCCACTACCTTTCTCTCAATTCAATTGTATTCACACATTTGAGAGTTTCTAACATCTTCATTAACACAGACGGAAAGGTAAAGTGCTTCGGCATTTTTCCTGAAGAGTTTGCCATCTGCTCGGGTCCAGTGTTCGGTTTGTGTTCTTGTTTCTCTGACAATACTATACTTATAATACATTTTACTATAATTATTAGGAATTCGTAAGTATTAGTACGTTGAATTAGAATTAAACAAGTAACTCTAATACAATTGAATGATACTCATGAATAGTACCGCCAGACGCATTCTTCGGGAACGACAAAAAGCCAAACGACTCGTGGGACGTGTGGGCACTTGGTGTTGTTATTGTGGAGATGATGAATGGGACAGCTCCATTTGCTGAAATGGCGGATCTCTTAAAACTGTTTACTGTAGTGAATGCGAAGATCCCTCTTCCTAAAAGCGCATCTGATGGACTGAAGAATTTACTTTCGTTGTGTCTAAAGAAAGAGGCGAAGAAGAGGTGTTCTATAAGTGACGCGTTACAAGACCCCTGGGTCAAAGATGTCATTTGTGTTTGTTATTAGTCTTGTGTGGGTCAGTAACAGGAGCGTTAACCATTAGGAAAGTGATGTGCTCGATAAAACAGCACTTGTCGACTATTTAGAGAGTCAAGTTCCTTATGACAATTACAATGTGAAAGGGGAGGAGATCAAGAACTTCATCGAAGAGTGTCCGTCCTTGAAACCGATGAACGAAGAAACCTACCAAGAGATCTCCGAGTTGACCAATTTGAAGACGACGAGCGCGTTACTTGCAAAGATCAAAACGGAAGTGCAAGAATCCAAAGATATTGAAAATGAAGAGGCGCGAACGAGTTGTCTTGCCTTTATAGAAGCCATGAATAAACGCATCGACCAAATTGCGTTTGAGTACAAAGCAGTTGCCAAAGCAAAAGATGATGTTTATCGCGAAAGTGTGATGTGCTTAGTCAAAAAAGATAGTTCGGCAACGCAACCGGAAAGCGTCGAGTTACAAAACAAAATTAAAGAGCAGATGTTACAGAACCAACAGTTGGAGAATCAGCTTCTCAAGATTCAAGACACATTT